TTCTATCCCTTGGGGGTCGGCGGCTGCAGGCGGTAGCCTGGTAAATATATCAAACAGCACCTTTTCATTATGTCTGATCTCCTCGCCCGCCAAACCCACCCCACTCCCAGTCCCACAGGTCAGTCTGTCTCAGAGAGTTTTATAATGACCACCCACAGGCACCCCTAGCAACGATGTTGTCCTTGCCAGCTTTTGGACCTTCGGGTTCAAATTGCTGGCCTGTCCATCAGACAGTCAGTCGGTCAGTCAGTCAGTCAGTCAGTGTCCCGGCGCCGCTACACAAGACTCATCATAGCTTAGGGCACAAGGGTGCAACGAGAAACACCTACTGGCTAATCATGGTAGCACTTATCAAGTCAAATAGAAGGTAACACCTCCAATCTTGGAGCATGAAACTGACATGAACTGACGATGCCTGAACAGGAACAGCGATGCACCCAGTGTAAGCTGGCCCACCTCCTCCAAGGCTCTGACAGGAGTAACGAGGCTTTCAGGTCCACTCTCAGTCAGCAGTGAGGGAAGGTCCATGTCCAGGTCCACCTCCCCAAACTCTCTCTTTGTCATGGCTGCACAGAAGTCCCCCGTCACTGGACTCCTGGGCTGCCTCTTGAGCACAACAAGCTTCGATTCACAAATGCGGCCAAGTACTCCTAAAACAACGCCACTCAGCGCAGTTACCTGAAGCCGTTTAATCTTTAAACTTCTGGGATCTGTTTATGTCTGGCAACCTCCGGTGGACCAGTGGACGCGACTGGTCAGTCGATTCGATTCGATGTTAAGTTGCGACTCTAATAGTCTAGAGTCTAAGTACAGTACAGTACAGGGTTGCCAATGCCGCCCCATGGTTCTCACCTTACAACCCCGTGACAAAGCCAATCAGAAACAATGTGATCTGACGGCTTGAAACCGTTTCGATTTGAATCTTGGCGCCCACGCCATCGGTGCGACAAAGCCTCCAATGCCTTTCCAAGGGCCTCAAATTGTCGAGCCAATCATTCCATTGGTAAAAATTTGTTCGACTGTAGATGTAATTTATTCCCACTTGGTTTCGATTCATCAACTGAGTCAATCATCCTGCTTGTAACATAGCACTCATGCCCAACTCGATCTCAAACCAGGGGATCGGGAGGTGTCCAGCTCGATTGTTTTTTCTTGTAAGTAGGTCCTTTCATGTTTCCAACAACATAAGCAAACGTTTGACAACCCAGGCACCAGTGTTGCAGTGACAGCAAAGGCCCCGGCAAAAACACCAGGTCACCTCTGTTGGGATCTTCGCGATGCTGGAGCCGTCCATCGTCATCTCAGGAAAACAAATGTGTAGGAGATTTAATTCTCCAACCAGTCAGTCAGTCTACTGCTGGGGATCTATCTTAGGAAAAAAACTGGCCACACTGACTGGCCGTGCCGCTGAACTCCGTGGCCAGGCTCTGTGGCCGGGTCTTGTCCTTCTCTTGTCCTGCTGTTGTCCTCCTCTTGTCCTTCTCTTGTCCTCTGGACACACTCACTGGCCACGCCCCTGAACTCTGTGGCCTGGCTCTGTGACTGGGTCCTTCTCTTGTCCTGCCCTTGTCTTCTGGTTGAAACGGCCTAACAAACATCATCGATAAAACAAGTTGCTCTTGGGGGGAAGGTAGGACGTACCAAAAAATATTGTTTGACTAAAATTGGTCCCAATCAATTGTTTTGAAACTGTTTGAGTTTGGGGTCGATGCTGGTATAGAGTACTTCCAACTCACATGAAACAACAAATCAATATCTTAAACAATGTAACAACAGTAACAAAGAGAAGTTGTGAGAAGCGTGAGTGATTGGCTTCTGAGTTCTTGTTGCGTTTGTTATCGTTTGCCTGACAGGTGATCAAGTTGTCTAAGCTAAGCCCTTGACATGAATGACCTTTTGACCCTCAAAAACTTCCCGCATCTTTCTGGAATAGGCCACCTGGCGTCACAAGGAGGTCCCATATCATGTACGCGCTGCACAGTACACCTGCAGAATCTAATAAGCAACTGTAACAGTAGGTTCAAAATCAATGCTGGGTGGTCAAATTCCATGGAACGTGTAATTGAGATTGCTGCAAATAATGAACTGCCGCCGAAACTCCATTGCCCTCATTGCAAAATGATCTGGATGCACTTTTCTGCCCTTCAACAGAGCTCGGCTGATGAAGTACTCCTGCACTGTAACAAACAATGCCTCCCAAACCGATTTCAATTTAATCCTACAAAGTTTGCCACGGTCAGTCGAACTTATTAGACCAATGATAATTGATAATGTGACTAGATCCGGTCAAAACAAAGCAACCACGACTTAGGCTCCTCTCCCGTGTGCAGCTTTTCAATGGCGTTCCAGAACTCTCCTGAGCGCCGATCCTCTTGGTTCTGCTAAACCTGCTCTGGGTCTCGGCGATCTTGCCGCACAAATGCATGCTCTCATCCTTAGAGACATGTTCAGCTGTGCCGCACAGTGCTGTCAACTTCAACTTAGTCGACTTGGTGTCAAGTTCAACACAGATCGCATTTGTGTAGCACTGACACTAAATAAAATGGGTGAGCGTCGACAATCGCTGCAACCTGAGACAACAAGCTGCGCCCAATGCACTCCAGAACCTTCACTGCAGGTTGCACTTGCTCATCAGTCTCCCACCTGGGCCAGGATGTTCCAATGGACAGATGGGTGGTGACTGGTGATCACTGATTCTTCATTCATTCACTTCAGTTGACTGTGACTTACAATGGCTGGCGTCCATCAAACAGTGCAGCCACCCCACGGCTGCAGAGTGAAGAAGAGGACATCAACCAATCTAGGCCGGTGTGGAGGAGATGTCACAATCGGTTCCTCCATCACTTCTGGATCCTGGGCGCAAAAACCAATTGAACATAATGATGGTGGGGTAGTACTACTGGTTCACAAAAGTATATAGGAAACACTTCCTTGTAGAGTAAACTACATTACATGATTGAATGACGAGTATCGGCCGCTTTGTGCCACATACCAATCACCGTTTGGGAGAACCCATTGCCATCCCCCCACAACATAGCGCCGTCAATGCAACCTGCATCGTCTAACGCACAGCGCCTCCTCCTGAAATCTGTCAAGTTTGCCACTAACAGTGTAGGCCTCAAGGACGCTGTGTGAGTGGTGAGCCATCCAATCACCTTACTCAAGAAGTTTCGTGCCCCACGCACTGTCTCTTCATACTTCTCCGGGGAGGCTATATGCAATAACAAAGTTGCAAATGCCACTGAAGAAGGGATTGTTGTCTCAGGCATGACCATGTGAGTTTCTCTGCCAGTTTTCCGCACTGGCAGTGGAGTAGGCACCTCATTTGAAAAATAGAGTCGCAGGAACCTGCCTAACAAACAGCCCCCAAAGTCAAGAGGATTTGAGTGGTGGGTACTTTTTTAAATAATGAAATGTAACCCTGAGTGACAAATAGTAGGTTTTAAAAGTTTCCAATGCCACACAGTGACTGGAACCCCTGGCCACATTGTGTGGTGTGCGTCTATAACGTTTGACATGTTCTTCTTGTTCATGAACCGTTTCTTCAGCTCCTTCCGCCTGGAAGCACTCCTGCTGTCACTGGAGTACTTGTACAGGGATTGCAGAAGCCAAGGCAAGCTCCACTCACATTGCCTCTCCTGATTGACAGGGCATGACATGCAACTGCAATAGAATAGGCCATGTGAATCCGAAATCTGATTCAATTGATTACTGACGCTCACTGTCAGATGTCAGAGTCTTCACCCATTCATGTCAGTTCAACAGGTCAAACATCTCTACCTACTCAGCCAGTTTCATGTCCAGAGTGACCCAATACAGTCACCAGTCAGTCCCGAGTAAACAAAAATGCAGTTGAACCGCACAGACTCTCAGAAGCAGCAGTCCTGACAGCGATACACAGAAAGAGCGTCTTCACCCAGGTCCAAACGACCTCAGCAAGGGCACCGCTCATTACTGCTGAATCACTGAAGGCATGAAATTATAGAATGCACCTCAGACTCATGAATGAGATGGTTCCTCGGATTTCAATTGAACTGAACAGTGTCAGTCAACGCCACGTCTGTCTGATTTCAATTGAACTGAACAGTGTCAGTCAACGCCACGTCTGTCTGCGTTACAGTATCATAATAATTGAGACTTGACGCCTGAGACGCTCAACATATTTATATTATGCTGTGCAGTGCAGGACAGGTTCCGTTTCGCTGAATCAAAGAATAATGAAATCCTCAACTAATTTCAGATCTGCTTGACCCCAGCCACACACTTCAGAGTGCACTGTGCCGAGCTAAGCCCTAGCACTCTCATGAAATCCTGAACTAGACGGTGTTTCAGATCTGCTTTACCGCTTTACCCCAGCCACGCACTTCAGAGTGCACTGTGCCGAGCTAAGCCCCTAGCACTCTTCGAGAAGAGTGAACTCCAAAGCAGTTCCATCATCCATGGCATGGACGGGCTAGACGGGTCGAGGTGGTAAGGTTCAGCTCCAAATACTGTTAGTTGGTTGTTAGTGACTAGCTATTCTCAATGTCATTATTGAGTTGAGTCGTCTAAGACTCCACAGATGTCCCATGTCCGAGTCAGTCACAGTGACCTCAGTCTGTCAGTGACAGTCAGTGCAGCCATTCATAGTGAGTCAGTGTAGCGGCCATTGTTGGTCAATGAGTGAAATCTAGCCACTGCTGACTGTCTGACTGTCTGCACCAAACAACATCATGAGCAAAAACATCTGCCGAATCTGGACTGTCCTCTCTCTGAAGGGGGGGGGGGGGGGGCGGATAGGGGGGGCTGATGGTGCTATGATAGCTTAGTCAGTACTTAAAATTGCCTTAACCATAAGGTCCATAGCCCCCCCCCCTCAGCCCCCCCCCATCCCCCCTAAACAAGAAGATCTGTATATATATATACATATATATATATAATAAATGATTTTCCAGCCTCCGTCGCCGACGTGCTGCCCGACAAGGACTCGGACGAGTAGACGACGAGCCCGCTCTCCCGCGTCGAGATGGCCTTGCCAGGGCCGACCGCGCACAGTACACGGACACAAAATGAACGAACCCGATTGTCTGCTTCAACTATATACCGGCCTCCAAAGACAAGGGCAAGCCGGAAGAGGCATGGCTCCAAAGCTGCAGCCGCCGCGGCTTCACACCCTTCATGCCCCAATCCACGCTGAAAAGCGTGGCTTGGAGCTCCCGGGTGACGCGGCTGGAGTCGAGCGTGCCGGGGATGACGGCGCTCCAGTCCCAAGGCAAAAGCCTGGCGAAGCGAAGTTTCCAGTTCGCGACGGCTGAAAATGCACCTATAATCGAAGCATTTTGAAAAAATATTGGCATAGACAAAGTGACAAAACCAATCGTGTCAAAAGCGTGCCTCTCAGGGTTCGGCTGCTTAGACCGGAGCCGCCGGTAGCCAGTGGGGGCGGGCGTCATGTCCACGTCCCCCACTGACCGAAAGCGGGCGTCTGTTCGGTCAAACGCCGCTGCCCGGGCCTCAGTTGTTCAATGGCGCTGAAAGTATTGTTTGTTTTTCCCTTAACGTTTGAAGCTCAACGAACACATGGTCTTTGCGAGGGCAATATTGTAGCTTGGCGCAACAATCTTGGTTTCAGGCCTCCGCCTCCGGATCTGGCCCGTCTGCCGGCGAAGTCGGCGTGGGCGGCGCCGCGGGGGAGGTTGGAGAGAGAACCTGCCACAAGAACGGTTTGATCCAACATAAATCCCTGCTTTCGGCGTTGTCACTGTTGGTTCGTTCGTTGGTAGTTAATTTTTCGTTTAACATTTAAAGCTCAATGAAGGTATGGTCTTTGCGAAGGCAATACTACAGCTTGGCACAGCAATCTTGGTTTCAGGCCTCTGCTTCCGGAGCCGGCCGGTCCGCTGGCGACGTCGGCGACGGTGGCTCGTCCGCTGGAGAGGTCGGAGAGGGAACCTGCCACAAGGCCACAAGAACGGTTCGATCCAACGCGCTTTTCTTTAGCGTGGCCCTACTTTCGGCGTTGTTGCCGTTGGATCGTTTGTTTGTGTATGGCCTCTTCCGCGTCGGGCTTCGCCTCGCGCGGGGGCGGCGAGGTGGGCGTGTACTCGCAATCGACCTGAAGGCACGAAGCCGGTGGACAAAACAAGTGAATAAAGGGGCTCGTCTGGCATTTCGTCGGGCCTGCAGGTTCTGGTCCAATATGTTTTCGAGCTCCACAGAGAAGGTCAACTCTGGAGTCTCGAACAAGGCGTCCTGACAAAGCCGACAAAGCCGTAGCGATTCAAATTGGGAATGGATAAAGTGGACCCCGCCTCTGCCACCTCTTCGCCCTCGGAAGAAGAGCTGTCATCCCGAGCTCTCTTCTGCGCGCCTGCCGTGCCATGGGTGAAACAAAATCAAAACAAAACACAATCGTGAAAAAGAACCGGGCCTCGCGTCGCATCATTGGCGTCTTGGTACACGTAGACGCCGGCCTTGACCAATTCCTGCTTCTGCACCTGAAAGCAAAAGACAAAAGTCAACACTGATAGAATACGGTTCGGATAGAACAGCACGACAGAGCACCCGGCCTCAAGGTCCACGCCGCAAAAGAAGTCGTAGAAGCCTTTCTGCTTCTTGGTGCAGAGGCCGCGGTCCTTCCGCATGATTGCGGTCAGGAGCTTGCGGCTGCACCTACACAACACAAAGGCTTGAGCAAGACTAGACAGCCTAAACCCTGCTTTGCTTTCAAACGCGGGCCATCCCCCCGGCCGCCGCCCGGCCTCTCCAGCTTCACCTTGAGCGTGTCCACTTCGCGGATGTCGACCGGCCCCTCTGCCGTCAAGGCTTGCAGAAAGGCGCGGTCGAACACCACGTTGCGCGACCTAGTTACAAAACAAGACCAGTGCGACGACGAAGAAAGCTATTGGCCAAAAGAATCGTAATTTTGAGATTGCCACACACACACACAATGGTTGAGGGCCGCGCGGGACCGCGGCGGTGTTGCCGGTCAGCGCGTGTGCCACGCGGTTCCTTTCCTGCGACGCCGTTCATAGGAAGCCGCTGATTGTTTTTTTGTCTTGTATGTTTGTTTGGGTTTGGGAAAGGCATGAACTGCACGCTCCTTGTTGGAAAGGAACCGGCTGGGCCGATGGGTCCCCGGGCCCTTAAAGCAAACTAGCTTGCAGGTTTTGCTTGATTGGTCAACAATAGCGCAAAACAGAGTGCCACTGAGTGCAAGACCTGTTCACACGTGTTGCCGTTGACTGTGTGGGCCACGCGGTTCCGGTCCTGCGACGAAAATGTTCAAACCAAGCCGCTGTAAATTCGCCTTGTGCCTTTGAAGGTTTGGAAAACTGGAAAGGAATAATGCATTGTAGCATTGCCCGCTCCTTGTTGGAGAGGAAGCGGTTGGGCTGATACGCGGGTTTTGTTTGACTGGTTACGCCGCGCCGCCAAAATTGCCTCTGAGCGCAAAGCGTTTCCAGACGAAGTCCACGCTGCCAGGCTTGGGGGTCGTTGCCCAAACCGTGGCTCTTGAGATCCTGCAACAAAACGAAAGGCGTTAATAGCAAATGTTTGTAACCCGCCCCTGAGACCCACACCGCTGGGGTTATTTTTCGCGAGGCCCTGCCGCCCGTGTCGCTTCATAAAGCGCACGTCTGCGGCCTCATTGAATAAACAATGCGACGCGCAATAAAGGCATTGCAAAGGAGAAGTGCGGCCGGTATAAGGCCCGGGCACCACGGGTTGTGTGGAGAGCTGCCCTGTCCTGACTATGCAACATGTTTGAAAACGCCGCCTCGTCTGATTTGAACTACTTCTAATTGCCCTTGAGGCCGCGACTGGCTCGGGCCGAGCTGCTGGACGGGCGCCCTGGTGGCAACGGCTGACAATATCATTTCTGTTGACAAGTAAAAAGAGGCAGTGTCTGAGTCGGCCACTTTCAAACGGTCGCCCGTGGCCGGGAAGGCCTTAAAGACATTGACCCGAATTGATAATTCCATGTCGAACAGGCCAAAAAAACATGTTGCCCAACGCTCGGACGGCAAAGCTGGGAAGCCCCAACGTTCCATGAAGAAGACGAAGGCCGAGGGGGCGCGCGCTTCTTCTTTGACTTCTTGGCCTATATAGTAGAGGTGAGGCGCCGCTCGTCGAGGGTTGATCGAATCGAGACGGCGTGGTGTAAATTGAGGCCGGGGCCCAAGCGGACGCCGCCTTCGGCTTGCGGCGACGAGGCTCCCCAAAGAAAGGAACGTGGGCAAGCTCAAATCTGAAAGTTTTGCACTTTGCTACTAATTGTCCACCCTCGCACCGGCCTCGTAAAAAGCGTGGTACGCGCACGGTGGGATGACCTGAATTGAGACGGGGCTGCAACCAATTGAACAATTAATCATATATATAATATAATGTATAGGACACCTTTGTAGACTGAGGCCGCAACCCGTGCCCACTGCTTTTTTGCTTTCTTCTTGGCGGGCCATTTGCCCGGGACCTTGCGCAGGTAAGCCAAAATCTAAGTGACAAGCCCAATATCAACTAGCAAACACAAATGTGCCTGGACGCCAGATTGTAGCAAGTCCAAAGTGGCCTGGAGTCGAACACGTCGACGACTCTCCCCCCGAAACCGTTTTCGTCGCCCAAGCCTCATCCAGCTCTGTGTCAACAATGTCTGTGGAGTCCGAGGGCGTGGCCTGACAGACATGATCAAGGGTGTCCTGACACAATGGCCCGAAAGCTCTGAGTGCCCAGCCTCGGTGCCAAACATCTTCGCGAGCTCCTGTCGTCAGACGAATGACTTACCTATACTCAAGCTGTCGTTTTTCCGCTATGACACGAAGCCTCGCCTCCTGGGTCCACATGACCTCGTCCGTGATGTCGCACCACAAAGCCATCGCGACAGAAAAACGAAAAAGAGAGGTGCGTAAGCGGAAAGAAAAATATTTGTAGAATAGTGCAAATATGTTGCTATGTTGCGGTGCTAGTTGTGTGCCTCTGTGGACATGTGTGTGTAGTGTGGAATGTGTGTGGGTGTGTGACGCGTGCCATGGGCGTGCATGTCGTCGAGTCAAGCTGGTTCAAGCAGAAGCTGCAGAGACAAACAAAACGATTACCTAGAATCTATCGATTTAAGGACTTTCAAAAAAGATAGAAAAAGTTGCCGAAATAGACAGAAAATATCTAGTGGTTTCCTCGACAAGCATCGATTTCCTAGAGCTGGTTTTCAGCAAAACTCCGACCAAAGCCCGACTAAACTCTGACCCTGGAGTTACAAAGTCTTGGAAGGGTTGCAAAATTGGCCCACCAAACTCCCATCAAACTCCGATCCAGCGCCAAACAAGGGGAGGCAAAAGCCCGACCGAGCCTCTACCAAACTACGACCCCATGCCCGCCTCAAAATCTGACTAATTAGATGGATACTTTTCAACTAATAGTTAGAAAAAACCTACCGGTTTTTAAGAGATCTATAGATTGCATTCGTTCTAACTTATAGTCAGGAATCCATCTAATTCAATCCATTGGGCTTCTTGCGTCTGAAGCACAAACACGTTCCCAAAAAAGGTTCTATATTTGCGCCTTGGCTTGGCGTGTCGTTTTCTGGTTTCAACGTCAACGCTTCCCGAAAAATGGGCGGCAAAGTATTGTTTCTTTCAAAATCCAAAACACAGTTTGGTTTCAGGATAACCCCGACACCCACACCTTCACAACCAAAAGCCCAATCTAGAAAAGAGATTTTAAAGCATTCTTTCTAGCTGATGTTTCCGACCAGCCATTCAAAATCCATCCACGGCCTTGGAAACTTTTCCTTTTTGTTTTTGAAATAGGGCATGTGGCAAGAATTGTCGTCTTTGGTGCGTCATCTTCTTGTTACTAAAATCTTCCGGCGCCACCGGAAGAAAACGAGGCCTTTAAGGGCAAGGACACCTGAAATCCTCTCCCGGATCGAAAAGGGGCCTGGATCGGTGGTTCAACGTTCACCTTCGCTCCCTGAAGCTTCACCGGCCCCTCCACCGGTGAGGACGGATGGTCCGGGTGTCCTCGAACCAAGCGTGGCAACGAGAGGGACAAGGCCCATTGACGGACCTGGCGATGGCGAAACGGAGGATGCGAACGAACGCAGAGGCTTCGTGTCGCGTCTGAGGCAGGAAGCCAACAACACAAGACACAACGGACTCTATAATTGTGTATAGCCGAAACTCGCCGTGGGACTGGCATATTTTCAACCATCCCAATGTATATAAGCAAACATGGCATAGATTTGGAATATAATGGTAGTGGATTGAGAGTAGATGGCTCGAATG